ATTTGGAGCCCACACTGTACTTTCACCTTTTGTTGGTGCTTCCAGGCTGGCAGCTGGACTGCTAATTAAGGATGAGTGTGTGTACGTCCTTACATGTTTGAAAGGCTGCGTCAAAAACAGACCTAAAAAAGTTCAGTAAAATACTTCATAACACCATAAAAAACAATAACATTCTTAGCTTTACAGAACAATGCATGAATCATTAATATTTTTTTGCCCTGACTGAGAGTGCACAAGGAAAGAACACACCAAGCTACCAGATGAAAAGAATGACCTCAGAAAAAGGAAACTAGTAGTAATTATTGCTTGCATAGAAGTTCTTAAAAAGCAAGGACATCAGTGTGCTCACAAATGTCACATAGCATGAGCCTCATCAAGTGCCTGCAGGGTCCTTTTTGTTTATCGATGTTCCCGATGACAACTTTAACAATTTATCTCATTCTTCACGCATCTAATCACGCAGCTAACAGAAGATATACCCCACAATACCCCACGGTATGTTGGAGGAGGAAAAAAAAAAAAGCACTGACCTGTCTTAATGACTATAGGTCCATTGTACTGTCTCCAGTTGTGATGAACTGCTTCAAAAAACTATGGGGCATCATAACAAACACTCCAGGCCCTCTCCAGTTCACCTATCAGACTCACAGGTCTACAGAGGATGCCGTCAGTACTGCCATACACACAGTACTCTCACACCTAGAGGATAAGGACAGCTACATACAGATTTAAATTCACTGATTACAGTTTTGCGTTTGATACAGTTATCCTGCTAAAACTGACTGATGAGCTCCTCACCCTCATCCACTCTCTGCAGCTGGGTCAGACGGGGTCAGGGTCCGCACCCATCCGATGCCTGTTTGTGTTCCTTCCCTGTTCTGACTAGCAGGTCGTTGGTCATTCTGGTCCCTTAGCCCTAGTGTGTCCTCCCTGGCCCCTGGACAACTGCATATCTCACTGGCTTGAGCTCCAAGTCTCCAGTTGTGGGTTTGCCAGAAACCAGCCTCACCAGTTTTGTTTGTGTATTGTTTTTCAGATTTCCCTGGTGTTTTTTATTGGTTCTTTGCTTCTTTGTTTTGGTTTGCCCTGCTTGTGTCCAGTTTGATTTTGATTTTTTTTCCTCTTAGTCTTTCCTAGTGTAGTCAGCCCTCTGTTATCTTCCCTGGTCTCTAGTGCTTCCCTGTCTTGGTGATTGTTATAGTTCCCTAGTACTTGTGCTCATTTAGTGTTTCCGCTTCCGCCTGTTTCTCATTGTTCCTACAGTATGCCTCTCTTGATTGGTTAATTGGTTATTAGTTGCATCTGTTCCTTGCATGCCCTGGTGTTCCTGTTTATTTAAGTGCTTGCCTTTGTTTTACTCCTTAATCAGTCATTGTGTTGATTATTCTGCCTGTTGTATTCTGCCTGTTGTATTCTGCCTGTTGTATTCTTCCTGTTGTATTCTTCCTGTTTGCCTAGTCCCTTTCCCATGGTGGTCCGGTTCCTTTCGCTGGTGTATGTATGGTTCTGCTAATTATTTTGTCCTGTTTAGTTCTGAACCCTCGTGGTCCTGATGTTTTTGTGTTTTATCCCAGTGTGTTCTGTTTTCTTTAATAAACCCCCTATTGTCTTGGAGCCACTAGTAGATCATCACCTTTTTGCCTGCTTGCACCATGCTGCCCTGTGACAGAATGACTTGCTCAAAAAGACGATCCCCAGCTTCTGGGACGACCCTCACCCCCCTCTCTTATTCCTGACCCAGTGGGTATCAGGAAGAATGAACTTTGTGACCTTCAAGCCATCTGGAATGCCCTGTCAGAGAACCCAACCGTCCTCAACTCCCTGAGCATGCCACCCTGCCCAGTTCTTTCTGTGCCCTTCTATACCTCTTCCCCTACTACTACCTCTTTCATAGCTACAGCTCTAACATTAGTGGAGGACATTTATAACACCAGGGTCATCAGGAGCCCCCACAGCATCATAAAGGACAATAGCCACCCCGCAGCACAGACTGTTCACAGGTAGATGCTACAGACGTTTGAAATCAAGGACCAATAGACTACAGAACTGTTTTTACTTACAGGCCATCAGGCTGTAAACGACTCACATCCACACCCCCTCCCTCCCCAGCACTGCAACTTAGCCGATACAATGTACCAGCGAGCAGTGAGAGCTGTAAACACACTGCAGCTCTCACTGGACAATACTGCAGACTTTGTACAACCTACTTCTACTTGAGGAATTTCTTATTCACATGTATCATATTGATATATTTTATGTATATTTGTCTACGACACTATATGTTTACATTTACATCGCACTCTGTATTGTGATATTGTGTCTTATGTTTGATCAGTGTTAACTGTGCCCAGACGGAACATTCTGAGTAAGATTTTCATTGTATAGTGTAACTGACTGTTTTACAGTGAATATCTCATTATCTTAATCTAAAAGAGGACAAGTCAGAGTTAACATGCCATCAAGAAGAGGAACATATATGAGTACCATCAGTTAGTCAACTTCAGATTCATTCCATTGGTGAAAATTAATAATGACAACAAATCAGAGTCTGACAGAGCTACACAACAAAATTTAAAATATAATGAATATCCCTTAGTTACCTCTTTATTTCTGATAATGCAAATTTTGCAATATTTCTAAGAGTAAATTTATTTTAAGAATATTACAGGTGCATACAGAGCTAACTCTAATTATAGGCAGAACAGGCTAGGGCCCCTGATTTACCTTAGTTGCAAAGGAAGTGAAATGATCAACTTTCTTGGTAGGGGGGCCTCACAGGTCAGTGGCAGAGATGGCCCTGAGTTCATACAGAAGTTTTAAACCTGGTGTGGATGTAAGCTCATCATCTCTTCTTTTTAATTAATATGACAAGTATAGGGATCTTTCTTTTGTTTCAAAACAAAAGAAGTTGAATGCAACTTTAAAGCCACACACAATTTCAAAGCTTAAAATACACCATAATGCACAGGGTATAGTTCTTAGGGATTTTGTCTAGAAACTTCTAAATTTGTATAGAGTCTAGTGGATGCAATGGCAAGATTAGCCATTCAAGCAACAACTGCACATCTGATTGCCTCATTACAAGATTTGAGAGAAGGTAAAGCTGTTAATCTCACACATAAGAGTCTGTCACACTGTATTATTGCTTTGCCTTTCAACAATAACTCTGGGCAGAAGTATCAAAAACTCTCTATCCTGACAAATATTGTCTTTATAATTGTATGTGTTAAATTGAGGGTACCTAATGATTATGCAGGATGGCTCAGTGGGTAGTTCTCCAACAGGGTAGAGGGTTTGAAGCCTGTGTCTGGTCTGTGTGTATGGAGTTTGTTCTTCTTGGATAGCTGGGTGCTCCAGTTCTCACCCAAAGACATACAGGTAGGTTAACTGAAGATTGTCCATATTACGTGTGTGTGTGTGTGTGTGTGCCCTGTGATGGACAAGCTTCCCATCCAGGATTCCTTTTCTGTCCTACATGCTCCAGAATGAAGTCTACCTCCTAAATTAATTTACCACATGATGCAATTTCTCACAAGCAACAACATGGTTAATAAACATAACCATAATTAATTGTCGTTAATTGTTTTTGTCGTATTATATTATGCCAAAGGCCTCTCTAAAGCACTGACATTATAGTAAAAGATGTTTGATGGTCTGGACAAAGAAATATTTCTTTGCATCTTAAGTTGCATAATACATAAATATAAGCTTTTCCAAGGCCCAAGTGAATGTGATTCTCAACTGTAAATGTCAACAGGTATATTTTTTTTAAAGAGGGAGAATTATTGCACAAGACACAATTATGATGACTGATATGGAGAGGTGGCGAACAGGGTGGTGGCAGCCGGAATGACATTTCATCAAGGAAAAGGTCAAACGTCATTTTTTTTCTGCCCCTTGCTGTTAAGGTGTATAAACAAGCATGTTATTATAAAAGGTCAGAAATCATCACTGAGGAGAAAGTGTGTCACAATAAAAAATGGGATTTCAATAATATTAAATTACAATTTAATAGGGATATCTATTCAAATTTTCGTCTCTTGTCCAGAACCCTTACATGAAAAAAATCAGATAGTTAAGCAGATTAAAATACTTATATCAGAAACTTGTGATTGATGTAAGAGAGGCAAGCAACTCAAATCTTTTAAAATACATAACACATTCAGCATTAAAAGAAATCATGCACAGGGGCACTGAAGATAATCTACCATATCCTTGGTTCTTTTCGCCAAAATCAAAATTCTGAAGATTAAATCTTTCAGAAGGTAAGCAATTTGAGAGAGTTTTCAAGTAAATTTTCAGGAGAGGAAGTCTTTCCACAACCCTTGCAAAATTAATCAAGACTTGCAAAACTGGTTGTATAACTAGCATTAATGACCCACAAATCTTCAAGGTCCTTTGCCAGGTGTTTAAAGTCCACCTATTCTGCAGTTTCTGGGTTTAAATTTATGAATTTGATCAGCAGCCTCATCCAGATGGCCAGACTGAATCCCCCCAGTGCCCTGATAGCCAAAGATGACACACAAGCGGTTTTACTAAGCAGTCCCCTGCAAACGCAGCATCCAACCTTTCCTGGAAGTTGATCCTGAGTCTCCCCCAAAATTAACAGCAGCATTTTTGCCGCATTGCTATTTTGAGGCAGCGCAAAGTGATTGAACTTTAATAAAGTTCCAATAAAAACCTGGTTTAGGGCTCTATTTTAACGATCTAACACAAAATGTAAAGCTCAAGACGCAACTAATATCTATGTCCAACTAACAAACTAATATCCAATATCTATGTCCAAATCCATTTTGCTATTTTGACAGCAAAAACAAACAAACAAACAAAGAAAACAGACTTTGCGCCAGCACAAGGTGCAAAAAGGTTCTACTAACTCTCTTAAATATTCAGAGGTGGGCATAACATGCAATGCACCAATCAGAATGGCATTTCGCCTCACCTTTCAAAGGCAGCAGCGCATAAGTTAAAGCGGAGTGAAATTTTAACAGCGTGCTTACCTGGCAACCATATGGCTTAAGCAAATGAAAGTGCGCAAATCATCTACAGGAGCAGCACTGTTCCACCTAAGCCCTTCTCGGTGAAGTAGGCGTTGGATGAGGGAACAGCGAGCGTGTCTTCTTTTTCTGGCATCACCACATCATCCGTTCAGTGCCGAGTGCGGGATAGTGACGTGAGAAGACGGGGTGAAAGGAAGTGCGCTGCTCATTGAGCGTAGCGTTTTGAACGGGGGACTTTACGCTTGTGTGCTTTTTATTTTAATTTTGGGTCTGCAGTTCGCAAAATAAAAGTACAAACTTTGTTCAAACAACAGTTTTTAAGGTGTTTTAAAATGTTCAAATTAAAGGCAATATGATCTTCATACATCTCACAATTTAGATTCCTTACCAGGCTACAGACGATTCAGCTCTGCTGCCAGCTGATCCCTCCTTGCCCGCGTTGCTCCCTTGTTGTCATCGGCACATGCAGTTCAGCATCACGCCTTCTAAAGTCCTCCAGTACGTGTTCCCTCATTTATTACGCGTGGCCATGTTTTGCAACATACTGTACACGTCACAATCAATGCAGCGACCTTCTGAGGGCTGTACTATAATGTTCCACGTGAGTTATCTAAACATCCGAAATGCATTTTCAGCAATCTGAATGTCCTTTCAATTACCGTAGGTGTTCAATTCTAATAATGAACTCGAAAGATTTTTTTAATGATACGGTTAATGTTTCATCAAACAGTATGATTACCTGAAAGGACCAGATGTACTCTATAATAAAACCTATATAAATGAAATAAAATTAGAAAAACATTAGTACACCTCGAGTGTATACCTGTGTCAATAAGAAGCGATGTGCACCTGCATGTTTGTAAAACGCGCCAATTAAATAATGGTCTCACAATGCGCCATACACTTAGGATTTTGTTGGTCTGAAGTGTAATGTTACTGCGTTGCCTTAAAATAGCAATGCCCCATTAATGTGCTCAGGCAACAAATAGTCACGTCGGGCGTCGCGTAAATAAGGAGGACACTGCTGCGGATCAGGCAGGTGAACGGGCATTAATGTCCTTCTTACTGTACAATCCAGACCTATTTTGACTGCAACCACGTTTGCAATAACAGGTCGTAGATATGCACGAACAAAATCCACAAATTTGTCTGTTGTTTCAATGTGTGATGCACTTGTCATTTTTGACTTGCTTGCACTTGTAGTAAATGTCAGTGTATCCTGGCCCTACGAAACTGAAGACACGTGCCAGACTTGTGCCCACGATAGCATTTTGTTGCATTTGTCACAACAGGCAAAAGACAATAACAAGGACTTTCAAATACCTGATTTCCCCTTACTTAGTTTGACATCAAGTAGTTTTATATTCACCTTTCCTTAAGCAGGCACTTACGTCCTCAAGCGTTTGAGATTTCCGTGCCGATGGGAATGCAGACATCTACTTTGGTGGAATCCTGCTGTTGCCAGAGATCACAGGTGTCAGACTCCAGTCCTGGGGGGCCGGAGCCCTGCACATTTTTGGGTTTCCCCTCGTTTAACACACCTGATTCAACTTCTTGTGCTAATTACAACATAGCTGTTGAGCTGAATCATTTGCGGTGGAACAGGGAAAGAACTAAGCTACACAGGGCCGCGGCCCCCCAGGACTGCAGTTTGACACCCCTGCCATAGATGGTCTTTGCGCAGGAACAGAACTGACTCCTCTGTGGAGAAACATTCTTTCCAACTACCTGGCAAATGCGGCGTTATAATTATAGTAGAAATATGCCAAGGTGCAAGTGCACATAGCTCATAAAGGGAACGGGAGATGGATGGCACTCCAGCTTCAAGCATGTTACACTCCAAACACACAAGACTTACAACATTTTGGACCACGCGTCTGGCACAGCGATTGGTTTTCTGCCGTTAAACTAGCTAAAGTGGATTGGCCACGCCCCAAAAGAACCTGCGCAGCGTGCTTCAGGCCCAAAGTTGTACCGCCACAACCGAGTCCTACCCAGTCTGCATTATCCAGTTTCATCCAGACAGTATACGGTAATTCGATGGCATTTTAAAAAGCAACATTATTCCAGTATTTCCAGATAAAATTAGCAGAGTGGTGTGTGTGTGTGTGTGTGTGTGCATGCATGGTGGGGGGGGGGGGATGATGTAACACCATAATACCACCCAAGACTAGCCAGCAGCCAGCCCCAGTTGTCTGTTATCCACCTCCCTGAGGTCTATATGCCTGGTGTGATGTCTGCTATCGGCCGCAGAGCATGCATTCAGTATACTTCAACCTACAGGAATGGCATTTAACACTGAAGAGCTTTAACAAAAGAAACAACTGATGTTCTCTTGTGCAGAAATTAGATAAATTCGCTATCCATTCCTTTCAACTTTGAGCTTCCTCAGCTAAGATTCACTGAAGATATTCAAGGACTACATTACTGTGGAAAAAGGTAAACAGATATTTAGCTGAAGGACAAGACACATAAATTATCCACTATCTCTGAGTCTCACCATATTATGTTTTTGCTTTTTCATCCTGGTATTCCTTCTTTGCTTGTTGGCTGGATTTAAATGGCTGGCATTTCCAAAAATTCATCACAAGAAGTCAGACAAATTACGATTTGTTTGCCTCGGTGAGAAAAGCGCCCATCAGTCACCCATGGTTGTAATTCATCAGCTCTCTCTATAAGGAATTAATGTCAGTTATCTCCCTGAGAACGTTTCAGACATTAATGTGACAAAACACATCACTGCATGTACAGCCTGCTATGAATATGCTTGAAAAGGCTCAGTCTATTATTATTCTGTTATAATTAAGCATATTATTTGGTGTTTCCATTAAAGAACAATATACCTATTCTGTCCACGTCATTGTCATCAAAAGTCTGCATTCCATAAGCTTGTAAGTCATTAAAAAAAGCATTTTAAAAGTGGGAGGCAAATGTCAAGATTCCTACTGAGAAGTTCAGATTTGACTACTGAGAAATGTTCGATGTTCAAACATGCACCTGGGGAAACAGACTGGCTCTCAGCTGTTAAGCATTGTGTTTGCTGTAACAACCTTTTCAGGCTGTAATCGCAAAGGTGTATCAAGGGCCATATTTGTAAAACAGATGCCACACTGCCCTCACACATTACCGCAGGCCAAATTCTCTCATCCTTCTTCTGTCTGAGGCGGGCAGCAAATGGCCCGACCCGGTCAAATATGTCCCTTTGTTAATGACGTTGGCCACACCATTTGGTCATGCAGAAAATCAGATCTGCAATGAATGCACTGTTTGCTTGTTGAATTGAGGCCACTTGATTTCACGTGGAGTCTCTGAATCGCTCACAGGAAAAAGCAAACAAACAGACCTCTTTTTGAAATCTATAGCACCACAATAACCTACAGCTTTTGCATAAAAGTCGTTCCTTTACTTTTTTCCTGAGGGTTGCGTTTCATTTCTCCTTTTAGTGTTTGCCGGGAGGCACGGCAATCATGGGTAAACGAGATCCATCATGTCTCCATCATCTGCCATCATCTCTGCTGCAATTAACATCGAAGCATCTGGAGCGATTTGTGACTGCAGTCCTTCACTCATGACGGTGGAACAAAACGGCTCTCAGAGAACGATCCCTGTCATTACTCCACCGTCTTCCCGTGGCACTTAAGTTTATTCATCTAATCAGCATCGCTTACATAACAGCACATACACTACGTGTGATTCCCAGCAAATAAAACAGTTAAATAAATGTTTGACGACGCAGCCATTAAACGGCAAAGGGGAAAGTTCACGTCAAGGACACACACACACACACACAAAGTGCTCTTTTCTCCCCAGAGAAAAACAACAAGAAAAGTAAGGCTTCTAAAATCTTCCATAAACCAGTGATGTAATTCCTACTTGTCCGTCTCTTGCAAGCTGCAAACAGCTTCCATTTTATGTAAACATATGCATGAAAAGACACTCAAGCACTGTTTAAAATTTCTTAAGTCAACCCCATCAAATCATATACAGAGAAGTAAGAAGATGCCACCTCAGTCTAACCTAATAAACACACAGAGACCTGAGTGCTTATCAGCACAGCAGAAAGAAGCAGCTAAAAACTGGGCCATTAACAGCATTTAATTGTGGTTATAAATATACATACATGACAAATTGTTGGCAGGCTGACAAATACGGTTACATTTAAAAATGTTTTCATTTATTTTTCTCTCTGGTTTGTCAGAGATCAGTTAAGGTATTTAAAGTGCATTTTAAAATGTGCAGCCTTGGCCTGTGATTGTTGGCATAGGATCATAAGGAGGCAGCAGTGTGCATTTTGAGAGTTTAGGTGCAGATCTGGCGGTTGGAAGGGTAAATCCATTACCCGGAAATTACATTCTGCGGGGGGGGGGTTTGCTGTGGTCCCTCGGGCTGCAGAGCACCTGCCGTCTCGCCTCAGAACCTCCCAAGCCCCCTGTCGCCTCACTCCACAAACCTGCCCCAACCCCCCAGCCAGGACGCAACCTCGGCTCACGACCACACAGCAGGCCTCCGGCACCCGTGGTTGTGTCCTTATTCTGGGGAACTTTCAGAAATCACTGAAAAGGTGCGCAGTTCAGTTAGAAGCACGGCAGACTACATTTCCCCTATAATACAGTTCCTTTAGCTCGACCATTCTCTTTACTGCAAGTCACTCTGGATAAAAGCATCAAGTAAATCAGCAAATGTAACGCATCTACTCTCCCATCAAGCCTTTTACAAACTATGCGTCACGTCCCGCAGGGTGGAGCAAACCAGTTAAGTAGCAGTCAGTGATTTCACCTGCTCAGCTTCCTTTAAAACTCCATCTGCCCTCATGCTTATTGCGAGGTATTGTTGCCCTTCATGAGCCGTAGTAAACGCTGTCTTACTGTCGTCAGTCTCTCCCACTACCTACCTACCTGCCCTAGCAGCCCCTGCCCATCTACTTCTCCAACTCCCTCCGATTCTCCTCATGTCTTTACCCCTTGTCTTCTGTTCCACTGTAGGATTGATCTCCCTGACTTCCGAAGTCTCCTGGATCCATGACCCCGACTCTGTCGATTTAAACTTTACTTGCCAGCTTCTCGTGATAAATCCATGGTTCTCCTGCATCTGGGTCTCCTGGCTTCTCTCCGCGTCCAGTCCGTCACCGTGCACCTCTTCATTAAGAGAGCTCGGTTAATGAAAGGATCTCGGATTTCATTGGGAGGGGGAACTA